TATATATATTAGCAACTTACAGCTTTTGGCACAAATTGCCTTTTCAGCCTTACTTTTTTTTTTTCTGAGCTTAAGTTGTGATTGAACTTGCTAGCATTTTGCACAATTACATATATTTGTAATTTAATAATTAGTATGCAACAAGCAGTTACTTCTGACAGGAAACACAAGAAGAAATATTTAACTCCAAGGTCCCAGAGTTTCTCTTCAAGTTATTTTAAAGTGATAACAAGGCACAAGTTTGGGAAGACCTAAGCTTTACAGAAAGGATTTGGTGACTTGTTTCAACAGCTTTAGAATCATTAGTGTTATAATCTCAAAATCGTATTCCTATGAACATGTCTTCAGAAAACAGACATTGTTATGCACAAATCTACAACTAAACAGCCAACTTAACTGTAAACAGTCAACATAACTGATAGTAGCATTTTTTTCTAAAAAGCACTATCAACTACATTAGCTTTAATTTGTGTAATAAAATATCCAAAGTAATTAACATAATAAAAAGGACTTACTTAGGTTCATGCTTATGAGATTACAGTCCAAGAGAAGCAGATTGTTGTGGGAGCACATGCTAGAACAAACTACTTGTACAGTGGTAGCTCATGAACTTAATTCTTTCCACGTTTCTGGTCACAAACAAAATAGGATGAGAACCAAATTAGATTGACCATTGAATTTGATTGTTCTTGTCCAATTCTGTTTGTGACCAGAACTGTGGAAAAAATTAAATTATTGAACCAAGGTTTCACTGTGACGCAGTACCCAAACCCCAAAGCTTAGAGGTTTTGCGTGGTGCATAGGTTCAGTGGATTCATTCCACAGTCATTGATCTCCAAGCAGAAACATGGTGGACAGGTGTGGCTAAGCTGCACTACTTAGTTTTGGCTTCTGGAAAAGACAGCAGAGAATAGTATCAGAGAAGAAATGTGCAGAAATCATAATTCCAAAGTCATGTTCCATCAGCCACCCAGATATACCCAAAAGTTCCCTTTACTCTCTTGTAGATGTTTTTTAATCCACTGAAATTGACACATCACAGCACTCACAATCTACCCCTTCTCAATTTGGCACTTAAATCATATTTAATCTTGAACCAAATAATAATAGATTAATAATTTTGCTTAATATGATACAACTATCTTGCCTAGAACGAAAAATACAATAATCTCATCCCCAAAGTCTCAACAATTACAGTATTTTTTGAATGTCCATGAGTCTTCTGAAGCTCAAAGCAAAATTTTAACTGTGAATTTCTATAAAAATTTTAAAAAACATTACATAATCTCCAAATACAGTGTTACAGGGTAAACATTCCCATTCTGAAAGAGAGGAATAAGGACATGGAAAAGAAATCCAAATCTAGGAGGATGAATATCAAAACTTGTAGTTGCATATCTAGCATTTGAGGCACATAGGGTTAAGATGTGCAGTCCAGAACATTTGGGTGGCCTCACCCTCATGGCTTTGCTAGTTGCAGCCCAGATGGTCTGTCTTGGACTACCTTCACTCAGAGCCTATAACTGTAGGAAGATATTGCATAATCCTGGCATTTTTGATTTCCTGAGGTCTCCGCACCTTCAGCTTATTTCCACAACTTTATACCTTGCCTCTTTTCTGGGGCTCCTAACCTTGCGTCCTAGGCTTTTCTTTGAAATCTGACTGGAAGTCTCTCTGACCTCACGGCTCTTGGGTTCTACATACCAATAAAACCAACATTTCATGCATGATGACAAATTCAACTGTTAGTGGAAGCACTAGGTAGGCTCTCTGAGCCATGGCTGCAGTGTTCTCTGAGTTTCTGTGCTCTCTGGATGGCTGTGCAAGGTGAAATAAATCTGGGGGACTAATTCCCTAAGAGACTGTATTTGTCAGCTTTTCTGTTGCTGGAATAAAATACCCAATACCTGCAATTTAAAGGAGAGGCTTATTATGATTATGGTTTTAGAAGGTTCAGTGCATAGCTGGCTGGTTCCAGGGCAGAGTGGCATGCTGGAAAGAAACGGAGGAGGAAAGCTGCTCATCTCATGACAAGCTACAAAACACATAAGTTGGGAAGGAGTTGGTGACAGGAATATACCCTTACTGACCACACCTTCAGTGGCCCACCTCAGACAAGGCTCCATCTCCTAACACGTGAGACATTTGGAGGGTATTTTAGAATTAAATGGTCATGGAGGCCCTTCTTGAGCAAGCATCCCTTCTCAAGAAGATGTTTCAGAGACGGTCTTATCAAATTAAAATTGGAAATTTTTACACTTATGAGCCTTGGGATACGTGGAGTCTTGCGATTTTCTGAGATACCCTGAAGGCATCTTGTCCATGTACAATGTTCTTGTTTTTGTTTGTGCAGCTATTTTTTTTATGGTGCTAAATGTGTTAGCAGCCACATCTCCTTTGGTCCCAATTTTACATGAATTCCTTGTGGGCCAAAATGTAAGTTTTTCGAATTTTTGTGCTTTGTTTTTTTGTGTCTCCATAAATATAGCTAAAAGCAGCCAACAGTGCCCATTCTGCAGCCTGAATGTTGACTGTCTTCAAAAGTCTTCCTACTGTACATACTCTTCAATCTATTGAAAAATTCCATTTCCTGATACAGTCTTTGTTCCCATCTGAAACCTCTTGAGCTTGCACTTTCCTGTCCAAATCTCTGTCAGCATTTTGGCCTTTTGAGTTCCCACTTTACTTATCCATCAAGCTCTACTTATGATATTCTAGGGCTTTTCTAGCCTATATCATCATAATTTTCAAAATCCTCCTGGTAACCAATTCTAAAGGCTTCTAATCTTTTTATATAGTCACAGAAATGATCCTCCTTCTCTTAAATCAGTTAACTCAGTTTTTCTAACATCCAAAGCTTAAGTAAAAGTTTAATTTAGTCATGTTAGCTGGGGATCCAAACCATGGCCATCTGGCTCCATGGTAGAAACATCCTGGCAGAATGGTGTGCGAAAACAAAGATGTAGTTCATTGTGAAAGGAAGCAGAGCAGGGAAACAGTACCAGAGAGGAAAGGAATCAGGAACTATATATATAGCATGTACTCAAGATCATATTTCCATTACACAGGTAAACTGAAAAGTGTGCTTCATTAATCGGCTAAGCATTTCCTGAGATAATCATGTTGACATCATGATTAATGGTCATACCATTTTTATTATCAATCTAGAAACAAAAAAAAATCTAAATGGTCTGAGTTCCCACTATCAGCAACAAGAGAACCACCCCAATCAGCCAATAGACCCAACCTCCTCAATGTCCATAGTACCTCTCCTACGGACCAAGCTTTTACACAAAGCCTTTGAGAGATTTGTTCATATTCTAATCAATATAGACCAATCTGTTTGAGAAACTTTAATAGTAAAACTGTATAAGAAGTGACTAAAATACCCAGTAAATGTAAAAAATTTATTGAGGCAAAAGCATATTACAATTAATCCCTCTCAAGAGATTCCTTGCTTCCAACACACTTGCTGTATCATTCCTGCTACTTTCTGAAGCAGCCCTGGAATTCCTCTGTTGTATGTTTTTACAAGGTACTATAAAAATTTGGCAAATGCTGCTTTGGCATACCGTCCAACTGAAAGGCAGCCTCATTAAAAAAAAAAAAAATTAGACTATGCCACCCTTATTCATTAGATACGCCACTATGCAACTTTTGGCTATATTGCAGTCAAACACCACAAAATGAAAGCATTTTGAATTAATTCAAAATATTAAAGTCACGTATGAAAGAAGAGTACCAGAACATTTCCAGAAAGTGACAAGAATTATTGGATAGGTGTATTGGAAACAAGGAGGACTATCTTGAGGAAAAATAATGCCAGTATATCTTTTGGGGACGGGTTTAAAGCTGAAAATTCAACTTTTTTTTTTTTTTTTTTTTTCGGTACTAGAGATTGAACTCAGGACCTTGTGCTTACCAGGCAAGCACTTATTCTACTGAACTATCTCCCTGGCTCAACATCTTTAATAAAAGTACAAAGATTAGGCTGATCTTATTTTTTCTTCAATAAACCTTGATTGTCCATATATATTTCGTCAGTTTCATTTGTGTGAGGTTGTTCACAATGTCCTTATTACCTTTCTAAAATTTGTACTATTTGGCAATTAATATATTTCAATGATTAGATAGGTTTAGCTATCAGCATAGCTGATTTGAGAATGTTTTTATCACCTCAGAAATAAATTGCATTTTAGCAGTAACTTCCATCTCTTCTCTACTCTTCCCAACTCTAAGCAGCCACTAATATTCATCTTGTTCCCCTAAATTATTTATTCTGGATATTCAGTGCATGTGAAATTATAAAATATATATATTTTAAAATTTATTTATTTTGTGTGTGTGTGTGGCCAGCTCAGCCCACCAGGGGGCGGGGCTGGCTGGCATGTGGGCTGGGGAATTGAACCAAGGTCCTTGTGCTTTGCTTACCTTAGCTTGTTCTAAGTAGGTGCTTTAGACCACTGAGCCATCTCACCAGCCCCATGTTTAGATATTTTCTGTTGGTACATTTTGAATTTATTCTTCTGTACTGGTCCCTGTAATACCTGTAAATTTATAAGAACTTCATTATATTTGAGTTCTAAAGATTTCGGGCTAAATTTATCTATTTCTTCAGTTATTCAACCATTTTTTCTTCTACGTTTTATCATCTTTAATAGTATGATAGGTGACCTGCCTCCATTGATCACTTTTCTCTTTGAGACTATACTTTTCCTGGTTCTTTAAACGTATTCATTTTTAAAAACTGCATTACAAATAGTAAACTATG